TCCCCTTCACCATGTTCCCCTCATATTCTAACCTAAAGGGTCTCCAGTTGTACTCCTTGGGTGCCAATCTCAGCTTGTAGGGACCTGTAGCTCTCCTTCACATAGAGAGCTACACGCCCCTCCCCCTGCCTTTTTTCAGCATAATCTTTCCTGTACAGAGTATAGTCATTTATACCCCTAGTCCAGTCATAAGAGGAGTCCCACCAGGTCTCTGTTATCCCTATGAGATCATAGTCGTTTTTGTTTAACAGAAGGACTACTTGCTTGTTTATTCCCCAAACCCCTACCATTAGTATACAGGCAAGTAAGAATGCTCTTGGAAGCCATAGGCTTCCTTGTACTCATGGAGGAGCTCTGTTCCTGGGCTGGGGTTGGAGTGGGTTCCCCTGAACATCCTAACTTGCTGATTTTTGCGGTTGATGCTTGGTGAGCTTGCTCTGGTGATTGTCTGCCCATCCCCCATCAAGCTTACTTTAAAGCCTGGTTGAGCAGGTCAGCCATTCTGGCTGAGAAGAGCTTCTTCTCCAGCAGAGAGAGGTGGAAGCTGTCTCTTCCCAGCAGACCACTGCCTCTCTCTCTGAAGAGCAGGCTGTGGTCGTAGAAGCCAAAGCCTTCCTGATGGCACCAGCACCAGTCTTCTATTTACTGCCTCCATTAGTTTCTCCATTCTCAGCCTGTGACCTGTAATTTTGGAAGGATTGAGGAGAAAACCACATGAGCCCCCAACCCCCTTAGCTCTGCTCCCAGAGCCCTGTATCCATTCATGACCTGCCTGGGATTGCTCCAAGCCATGTCATTTGTGCCCACATGCATAAGGAGCATGGGGTAATGGTCGGAGGGCTGGATAAGTTTTGGGAACCTCTCAGTCACATCCCAGATACGGGCTCCCAGGAGGCAGCAGACCTCCCAGGCTAAGAGGTCAGGGCAACGGATCGTTCCCTTTGTCCCCCTCAGGAGGGAGTCTCCCACAATGACCACTCTGCATTTCATCTTAGGGATGATAGGTGGTTAAGTTTCTTCCTCACTTGCAGGAGCTGGCAGCTCTTTGTGGCACCACATTCCGCATAGCCATGCTCATCTGGATGTGCCCCTCATGAGCTACTGCACAATATCTACTGCACAGTCATTTTACTACCTGTATTTACAGGTTGTAGCTAACTGCACAGTAGATTAATTTACTGCACAGTAAATGATGTGCACAGATTCATTCATGTGTGATACAGCACCTTGTGTAGACATGCCCTGTGGGGATCTATAATTTTGTTTTAACAAGAGTTTATTTAAACTTCACAATTCTGTTTCATTGTGTTTTGTTTAGCTTTTTAATCTTAAATTAGTCCAGCGTTTGGTTTTTTGGACCTGAAAGGCAACAGCAATGTAGGCAATGGTTTTTCTGGTGATAAAACTGATGAAAGTGTCTACTATAAATTTTTTTCTTGGTAGCATTCTGAAACTTCCAGATGTCATCTATTTTGAATTTACACCCCTCATGACAGAAAATCAGGGATTAGCATGTTTTGCTGTCAAGTTTCAGTTTCTAAATGTCAGGTGTTTGAAGGTCTTTCAATATATTGACCACAATCAGTACATTCCCCAACTTCCATTGAAAGAATAGAATTGCAGGGGACATGTCTATATGTGCCATTAAGGCTCAGCAATAAGTTGCGGAGCTTAGTGCTCCGTAATTTATTGCTTCCGGGAATCTTCTGGTGCACCATTTACACATGCACCTATACATTGAACTAGGTCACAGCAGCCCTGACTGGCAGGGAGTCCAGGCGATCCCGGCTGGGGCTGCTCCTACCGGGCTCAGTGTGCTGTGGAGGGGCTGGCTGGAACATGAGGGTGCTTCAGTGCACAGCTGACCAGCAGGCAGCCCCCGCACTGAAGCATCCTTGTGCCCCAGCCAGGCCAGTGTCTACATGTGCACTGCTGCACACGAAAAAACTCTGCAGCAGGGTAGCACTTGCATTTTCAAACACTACTGTCCTGCAGAGTTTAGTTTCCTGTGCCCTAAATGTCTTATGATGATGATCTTACACACATGTAGACACATCCAGGGTTGGGAAAGACCATAAAGGTAATTTAGTGCACATATGAAAGACTCAGTGGGTGTGTCTACAAGTGCAATTAGTGAGCCTGAATATTTTTGTGCAGAAAATTCAGGCAGACTAAACTGAGCCCCCGCATGCATCTGAATGTATGCCCATCAGGAGCAAATTTACTCCTAACAGGAGCAGTTTAGGTTAGGACTGCTCCTGCCCTGCTGTGCCCCACTGCAGCAGCCAGGGGGAGTTCCAGGCTCCCCCAGGTGCCAGCACCAGGCTGGCAGGGGGAACAAGGCCTGGTTCTGATTTCTATGAGGTTGGGAAGAGCTGTCTCAGAAGCTGGGCAGCTGCTTGCCAGCCACATGGAAACCAGGACCACCCCCTCCGGACAGCTCTTCCTTCCCCATGGAGATGAGGATGGGTCCCAATGTTCACTTGACTGGCAGGCAACTGCCTGGCAGCTGAGACAGTTCTCCCTTTCCAGATGGGATAGGTTCTGATCTCCACATGGTTGGCAGGCAGCTGCCTGGCAGCTAGGACAGCTCTACCTGTGCCATGGTGATTGAGACAGGAGAGCATCCTGCTGAGTTGAAACAGCTCTCCCCTCCTCCTTTGTTCCCCTGCTGCCTAGGCTGACTAGCAGCAATTTGCTCCAAGTCAGCATCTGCACATACTCTTCGGCACAGTATTTTAATGCCCTGATTTTTAGTACCTGTATCTGCAGGTACTGAAAAACAGCACATTAGATGAATCTGCTGTGCAGTAATTGCTGTGGATGTGTACGTGGTAATGCTTTACTGCACATTAAATTAATCTGATGTGCAGTTAAGCATCTCATGTACATGCACCAAGTGTCCCTCAATTCTTTTGCCTTCCTAAAAGCATACTACTGATTGTGTCCTGCTGGAAAGATACTATTGGATATTTTAAAGATAACTTTTTCAACCGATCCAGAATAGGTACATTAACATGAAGTCTGTGATTCAGCTTTGCCTGGTTTTTTGGTTTTCTACTACATTTCTTTTAGTAGTATTACACTATGTGGTCCTTTTTTTGGATGCTGGGGATGGAACCTTGAAATGAGTTATTGTAGATAGATTCAGAGAGTGAATAGTTCTGCTTGCTTCATCTATCTGATAGGATGCGTTTTCACGTCTTTGATACTAAATATACTTAATGCTGAGAGGGGGCTTGAATTCAAATACTAGAAATGGATTTCTTTGGTTCCTCAGTTCTGTGCCTCTCACGCTATGATCAGGTGTTTGATTATAATGCCAATATAGGTATCAGTTGAAATCACTCCCAATTTTACATACTTCACTGAATAGGAAGGAGTTGCATGAAAATGACTTTTGATCATACCAACAGGGATATATTCAGCTCGGTAACTTGTTATAGATGTAAAAAATCCTGTATCGCTTTAACCAGTTCCACTCTAATACAGAATAGCATTTGAAGGCTTTCTAAGTATGTCATAACATACTGTACTTTGGAAGATGGTGATTCTAAGTCTTTTTTTGGCCAAAGTAACAGGGTATAAAAATAAGACATCACATATTTCAGAATGTATGGTTCTGCTTACCAAGGGTGGCATGTTAAAAAATGCTGTCTTTGGAAAACTGTCTGGCAGCTGAAGGGAGGTACCATTAGTACCACCAAAATTATCAACAAAAGTATGTGACTCAGAAAGAGATGAGAAGTACTAAAAACTTACCTTAACTGGAAAATGTGGATGAGAACTTAGTCAAGCTTTTCTATACAAGTCACCACTAGGGGAATGTGAGTGTTTTTATTGGCATATTGTTACAATTCAAATAAATATCAAAACAAGGTAGTATTTGAGACGACCACTTTTTTACAGTCACTGTTTAATTTTAAATTAATGATGATGGAAAGCAATAAAAAGAAGGTTTAATGTCATATATATGAAACATAATTTCTACAATAGAGGTTTGAGATATGCCAAATACTATATTTACTCAGATACAAGATGAGATTTTTTTCAAAAAAAGCCCCTCATAATCACATACAAGAAAATCTCATTAAATGCATTTTCTGTCATTAAACTGCTACTAAAAGCAGCATGTGCTCAGCAATGGAAACCATCTATGAAATTTGATTAAATGCAGCCAACACTGAACATGACTATAAAACTCATGGCCTACTTTGGGCAAATATGCTGATGGAACCCTACCACAAAAATAGATTAGCGCAGCCTAACTAAATAAGGCATAAGGTAGTGCCCTTTAAATGTAGTCCCCCTCATCACCAACTCCTCTTCAAGTCATAGTGAGCCACTAAATGGCATACATTTTTACTTTCTCTTCACTCCCACACCCAAGCTATGTCTCTCTTTCCCATTTTTTTGCATGGGACAAAAACAAGGGAAATCTCCAATAATTAGGTTCTGTACATGGATTTTTTTTTAAATTATAAGTTTTCTATATAGAGAACCTAATTATTGGGGAGTCATCTTATAATCAGTGTTGTCTTCTATTTGAGGAAATACAATGCTTAAGGCAGGCTGCTGTACTTGTATTGTGATGTATTTCAGCAGGTCATGGAAAGGTTACAGTGTGAACACGGTCATGATGATGATAATGAGAATTCACCTGTTACATTATATAGCACTAAGGCAGTAAAGACTTCCCAACATTTCCATGTTGAACCTACATCTTTGAAGATTTATAACTGTGATGTAACAGTTTTCTCCCAGGCAGAACCTGGGCATGAAAATAGAGCAAATATTGTAACACTAGAGTGCTAACAAGAAGACATGCTGCATTGTTATATTTGGGCTATTTGTATACTAGTTAATGGTTTAATTATATAGACAGTAGTTTTCTCTGTTTATGAACAGTTCTGTGGCTTTATAATGTGAGACTCATGAACAAAGTATCATTTGATCTCCTTTCATACTCATACTATACATTTATCTGTATTAATTTTAAGCAACAAGAAGTTGAGGACACCACAAAACTACTTCATAATGAATTTGGCTACAAGTGACTTCCTGATGGCTGCTTCTCAGGCTCCCGTTTCCTTTATCAACAGCTTGCACAAAGAATGGATACTTGGAGACATAGGTACTTTTAAACTCTACTTCATATCAGTCCAGCCTTCATTGATAGGATGGTTTTGCTAAGATAGATTTTTTTTCCCTTTGATTGACTGAAATTCATGCATTTATTCAAAAATGTCTTCTGGTACCCATTACTAGGCCTAGGAACCATAAACCAAGGAAAGTGTCACAGAATGAGGAAGAAGGAAGGACAAGGAACAAGGAAGAAATGTCATTTTTAAGTTTGAAAATAGTGCAAACTCTGGTTCAAGACTGAAAGGTTCATTCACCATTGCATCACTTGACTTTTAGGCTGTTGATGGCAATAGAAACACATTATACAATTTGAATAGCACGGTGGTGAATTAAGTCCTGAAACAACCTATTATTTGCACCAGCAACAGGGATATATTCATTACATTCACAATATTGTTAGTCTTGTCTACTTTATTAGTTAAATATCACTCCAAAGCCTGACTGCTTTTCTCATATAAATCATCTTCTTGTCATAAACAAGATAATCCTGTTTGTTTTATGCAACTTAAGTTCCATGCTTCTGATGATGACATGATTACTTTTGGTGTCAATTGGGTGCATTTACACATACAATTAACGTGCCTGAATTTTCTGTGCAAAAAATTCAGGTGCATTAAACTGCTCTCAGGCACGTATCTGAATATGCACCCACATCAGGAGCAATTTAGTCTAGGGCTCTCCTGCCCTGTTCTGCCCCCATGAAGCATCCCCCTGGCAGGGGGCATGGGGCAGTCAGTCCTGGAGTGGTGGGGAGGGAGCTGGGGACAGGTGCTTACCTGCTTCCCAGAGCAGCTCCACAGGGCTCAGAGCCACTCCGGGGAGTGGGTAGGCATTTGTCCCCAGCTCCCTGCCTGCCTAACATTGCTCCTAGCTCTGTGGGGCTTGGAGCTGCTCTGGGGAGCAGGCGGGGAACAGAGCTTGTTCTACATGTGTGCTTTGATGCATTAGTTTAATGCCCCTTTTTCTAGTACCTGTATCTACCAGTATTAGAAAATGACACATTAGACTAATGAGCAGTAATTGCTGCATACATGTAGATGGTGATGCTTTGCTGTACATTAATCTAATATGTAGTAAAAGGTTTCATGTAGACATACCCACTATGTCATTTGAATTATGTCCTCTGTTTGGTATACTATCATCTGTGATGATATGGTACCACAGAAAATCCCCAAAAAACAATTGACTGTTTGGCTCTGTTCTCAGATCAAATCATGTAAATTGAAGCTCTAGCTCTCTTTGTCTGTGTAGCAGGAAAATTATTTTGTTTCAAAGTAAAAATGGACCTTAAAAAATTCAATATTTAATAGGACCAATGGCTATATTTTCCATTTGGTGTTTTAAATAGCCATAGAATAACAAGAGCCAGTACTTGTTTTAATTCATGTAAATCAGAGGGGTTTCTTGTTTTGTTTATTTTATATCTCTTCTTGTCATTAGGAGGCAAATAAATGTTTCCGTCCAGTTAAGGTCATTATACTGGGCAGCAGTCCAGGAAAATGTAGCTTAAATTGTATTGAATTTTCCTTGAGGCAGTTTTCCATTGACCCAGGGGGTTTCAGTCCCCGCCTGTAGTAGAGGTGGGGAGACGATATCTTCACAACCTCTATTTTTATGTTTGTTTTATTAAATAATTTTAAAAAATTGATACAGGAGATCTGTAAGTCTTCCTCTAATGGAAGAAAAGTCTCAGGTCAAGAAGAGAGTGATCACAAATGGGAAACCAACTGCCTCAGACTCTGAGAGTAGACATACATTTGTTTAAACCCTCCCCAAATTTACACTCCCCTTTTTCTACTTCAGGTTGTGAGCTGTATGCTTTTTGTGGAGCACTCTTTGGAATCACTTCAATGATGACTTTAGTAGCTATTTCTGTTGATCGCTACCTTGTGATCACTAAACCACTGCAATCCATACGATGGACTTCAAAGAGACGCACGGCACAGATCATTGTTCTTGTCTGGCTTTACTCACTGGGATGGAGCATGGCTCCACTATTTGGGTGGAGTATGTTGTTTACTCTTTTCTATACTGCACATTCTTCACTTCTATACTTGTAGCACTTTTTTGCTTTGTCAGAGATGTGTGAAAACAGCCAGTTTTCATGTATTATTCCTGAGTGGATATAGCTACTACCCAGGACAGGGGTGTCAACATTCAACCTGTAGAGCCATATCATCCATCTTCTGGTGCTGCCTGTGGGTCTCAGAGCGACCCATGGGCAGCACATGGGGTTTGCACCCGCTCCAGTTCACTCCTCACATGCTGCTCTGGGGCCGTGCTGCATGTGGCAGCTGCTCTGGGGTGCAGGGGCCATGCTGTATAGCTCGGTGGTGGTGGCAGCTCCAGGACTGCACTGCACAGCCCCATGGCAGCTGTGGATCTGGAATGCAGAGCTGGTCTTTAGGTCTAGTGCAGCTTGAGGACTGGCCCCATGCCACTCATTCAGCCCATGGGGCCAAATGGGTTTGATACCCCTGACCTAGAGGTTTGCCACAGTACAGTATATTTGTGTCTTACCTTTGCAATCTTTTACTCAATCTCTATTCTCTGCACACTGTGATACTATGCATAGGTAGCTAATATAAGTCTTTACCCTCCACTGAGTTTGAGGTGTAAGATTACAGATATTCATTTTTTTTTTTTACCAGGTATTCTTAAGCAGAGCAAACAATCTTCTAGAATGAAAGTGTACCTTAGCACATACTGTGTTAGTCCTTGAAGTTGTTGCTAAGAGTATCTAAGGGTGGAAACAGACATCACCTTCATGACGCCATTAAAAAATGTTGTGACAGCACGAAGTGAAAGCAAACAGATGTCTATGCCTTCTGCCGTGCCACAAGTGTTCAAATTTGTTACTGTGACATAAGATAGTAATAAATTGGGTTGCTCTACTGCAGCCAATGTCTGTTTGCTGCCTTCACATTGCCTGAGCTCTTCAGCCTCTCTGGGGCAGGAGTTTGAGGCTTGAGGGGCCCAGTCTTGCAAACTCTGGGAATTCCTGGGCAGAATTAGCCCCCTCAAGCCCTGGGAGTATCTACCTCACTTTTGCCACTTACCCAGATGTCTCACTAAGCAGGAAAATTCAGGGCTTCAGGGTGCATGTCTGCAAGTGAGAGTTCTCTGCTTGCAGGCACACACCCCGTGCAGGTAGAATCCTTCCGCTGAGGATTTCCCCAGGTATGCTTACAACCATATAGAAATCCACTTCACAGGGTTCTCCTGCTCACCAACACAGGGGCCACAGCAACCAGGGACATCTATAGACATCCCTGGATTGTGATAAGCTATGCCATGACATGTTGTGATTCAGCTGATTGCAGTCCACTGAAGACATCTGTTTCTAGTCCATCTCAGATATAGAGCTTTTCTAGCAACAGACTTGGGGCCAAGTTATTGAAACTAGGTAATAGTGAACCTCAGTGTTCACCCTAAAGAAGTATAATATAATTAAGGTATGTCTAACTGTGAACAATTCAATCCGCCCTCTTTTGAATAGTTTTTGAATAGTGTACAGCAATCCTGTTTATAAAGTTTGGCCAGGAAAAGAAAAATACTATATTTAGTTGAAAATGCAAGGAGAATTGTGGACATATATAACAAAGTTACTATGGCCTCTTAGTTTATCTGGCAAAGAATGAAATATTTAAGTTTTGTTCACATGCTGAACTTAGTATGAATCCTTTCACTGATTTTGTGAGCTTCACATCAAAGTTCATGTGTAGTCCCTTGGTGCAAGAAACATCATTATAGGAAAAGTTATATACAGGCAGGACAGATATGTTTAACAAACAGCCTACCAAATAGTGGTTTTTAAGGAGTGTAACCACCAAGAATTGACAGGAATTATTTGGAGTGGCCTATTTGAGGAAATACACAGAACAACAATAGGATACCAAGCAAAGGAAAATATGGCAGGTATTAAAGTAGACTACACCAGTACAGTAGTAATTTTTCTTCCATTTTTCAGAGAATAGAGCCAACTTCCTCCATTGTTCTTCTTTCCCGAGTAAAGGAATGAAAAGTGCGTAATTAGGGATTACTATTGTTGCTGTAGGGAAGTCTAGGAAGTGAGATGATTAAAACAGAAATATTAAATTCTCCTTGGCTTGATATTAGACAGCAAGGCTTCTAGGACAAACACTCTGACATCTGTTAGCATAGTGAGGTAGCAAGCATTAAAATGCTAATTTAATTTAATCTAGGAAAACGGCTTCTCCAGCACTGAAAATGTCACTTTGAAGATATCTAATTTAGCTTCCAGTGAATAAAAATAACAGTTTAAAGAAAACTGTTTTAAATGAAAAGAATTCTGAAATGAATTCTTTAAATGAAAAGAATGAACTGTTAAAGAATTAGTGTCTTCAAATTATTTTCTTTTACCTTAATTCATTTTTTTTCCTTTTAATTGGTATCTTTGCTTATTCCTATTCTGATGCTAAAGCTATATCACTGTGGCTATGCTATTGTGCTATCACTATAGCACTATGCGTTTTATGTTTCCAACTCATGATAAGGGACTAGAGACTAAGTTCTCAGAGACCAAAAAGAAGCAGGTTGGCAGCTTTAGCAATAGTTAATGATTCTTCCTTTTGCTCTAATATACACATACATAGAAGTGTGTATCTGAAAGTATGTTATCCTGGGTCAGGCCTACTATGTCAGTAGACCAAAACTCAGGACTGCAGCACAAGATGTCCCTAGCATAGAGAGATCTTGGCTACTTTGCACATCTTTTCAGCTGCTTTAGCATAGATGGATTAGTAAAGGAAGCTAGTGGGGAATTCTTTGTAGAATGAGACTTCTGTGAACATACAACTTGAATAGACCATGGACAGGTGATTTTTATGAACTCTTTAAAATGAGAAACCTTCCCTGAAGTAATCTTGGAAGATGCTTGGTTAAAATGGCTTTAGGAGAGGAAATTCTAAAAGACATCTGCTGTTTAAAGTTTATTAAAGACTTGGCTACTGAAAATGACCTCCTGGCAAGCAGCTGGTTGGTAGGGTTCAACAAATTTGCTTTCTCCCAGGTAGGATTCAGTATGCCATCACTGATTGTGTGGAATGCTTTCAAAGGTTGTTCGTGGAAGATTGACTTCTCTTTTTGTCTGTGCACAATGCAATTTTTTAAATGAGCTCTTACTTGTAGGGAGAACAGATGCAGGGCAGTTTCTTCTCTGTAATAGCACTTTTTCATATCCTAGGAGAGGATTTAAACAGTTTGCCAAATAAATGATTATGCAAAATAGTATAGTCATGAGGGTGACAGTGTATAATGTAACATCACCATATATTTGTTAATTGCCCAGGTATTTGACCAGTCACTATACAAATGTTGTGCTCAAATTTGGGTATAAATAATATGTTTACTTTTCTTATTTCTTAGGTTCTTATGTGCCTGAGGGTTTGATGATATCCTGTACCTGGGACTACATAACCACTACCCCAGCAAACAGAACCTATACCATGATGCTGTGTTGCTGTGTATTTTTCATTCCTCTGCTTATAATATTCCATTGCTATTTATCCATGTTTATGGCTATAAGAAATACTGGCAGGTAGGCATGGCAAGTAGAATAGTTCAAGCTCTTCTCCTTCTGTGCTGCAGCATATATTCACATTCTTTGAGTGAAAATAAAACTGGGCTTCTGATCAATAAATGACACTGCTTACAATGAACATTATATTCTTTTAATGTATTAGACCAGGGCTCAGCAAAATATGGCATGTGTGCTGGATCTGGCCTGTGAAGCCAGGGGGCTTTGACTGTGCCCACACCCATGATGGGGTTAAGCAGTGAGGAGCTGTGATGGGGCTAAGCAGCTGGAAGCTGCGCCTATGCTGATGTCACACCCCACCCTAGAAGCAGCCAGTGTGGAGCAGCACTAGAACCAGGCAGCTTCCAGCTGTGCCCATACTGCAGCTAGGAGACTGGGGCATATAGGGGGCAGGGAGAACCAGTGGCAGTGTGGGCTCAGATTCTAGCTGTTTGGCTCTGGCATGGACACAGATAAAGCACCCTGCTGCTGATGTACCGCTGAAGCGCCCCAGCCCACATCACACTAAAGGCAGGTTGTTCCAGCCTGCACCTTATACAGGTTGCTGGCCACTGTACTAGATAATCACAACCAGCAATTCCTACTTCCATGCTCCAGATAACAGTCAAGTCAAATTGGGGGAGCCAACCTGTGGCACAAGTGTGACGAGTGTCACAGACAGCCTTTGTATGTGGCACATGGCAGATCAGGGAGAGGACAGGCTGAACAGCAGCCAATAGGCCAGAAAGCTGAAGAAAGAGCAGGGGATAAGGCAGGGAACATAAGGCAGGAAGCATAAAGCGAAGCAATTGGAGAGGGAGTGCAGAGAAGGAAGCAGAAAGCAGGGCAGCTGATCAGGCGAAGGAAGGGAATCAAAGTGGCAGTCACGGAGAGTGTAGCTATAATTTGTGGCAAACCTGCCAAAAAGGTTGGCCCCCACTTGGTCAAATAAACAGAAATTGAAATTACATTTTTCTTATGTGCAGCTGCTTCTCATTTTCTCCAGTGCTTAGAGGATGGCCTCAAAAACGTTGTTGAAGCCAGCTCCAGGAGAGTATGATAATAAATCTAGCAAAGAGCAGGATATGCATTCTCTGAGTTTGGACCACTCTGCAGACTGTCAGAAGTCCTACCCCATGTATTCCATGAGGAATGGATGGAAATATTCATGTATTAAAAAATGTATTTGTGATGGATTCTACAGAGATTGTTTTAGTTTAAGCTGAACTTGGGGAGATGTGATTAATAGTGGTATATGAAATATCCATACATGCATGCAATTAGCCCAATGCATTGCACATTTCATGCAAAAATGCCAGAAGGGGCACACCTTGTGTACATGGGTTAGTCTCTGCTTGATTTGAACTAAACATTCTGTATTGAGATCAACTGGGGAAATCTGTCCCTGTTGGTTTTCTTCTCAGTTTGTGTATGTTACGTGCTATGGGACTGATCCAAAGCCCGTTGAAGTTATTTTTCCATTGACCTCAGTGTGGTGAAGTTCTGTTGGCCCATTTCAACAAAGCCTATGTCTACCTTTTGAGCACATGTTTAACACATATTGACTTCAAGGGGATTTAGGTCCATTCTTATTAGCAAAAATTCTTAAGCATATGCATGTGTGTGTCCTTAAAGTTAATCACATATATAAAAGCTTCTTCTTTTTTTACCTATTTAATAGTGCTCTCTGTGGGCATATTTACATGTGCATATTAATCTCCATGTGGCTGGGAGGCAGCTGGGACAGCTCTCCCAGCCATGTGGTGATTGGGATGGGTCCTGAAGTTCTTGGGGCTGCATATCATGGAAGCATACCATGTCTGACTTCCTTTTCTAATCTCATGGAGTACTCTGGGGCCATTTTGTTATGATCTCCCCTCTGTAAGGTGGTAGCAAAGCAAAACTTTTCTATCTAAAATGCTAAATAACTGAAAACAAAAAGGCATGCGCTTCATTTACGTATTGCTTTGCATCTTGTACCCAAAACTTTTTTTCATTCTTTTTAACTTCTGTGTGTTCTTCTACTCACAGACATGTTCAGAAGCTAGGGTCCTACAGCCGGAAGTCATACCTCTCACATTCCATGAAGAATGAATGGAAATTGGCAAAAATTGCTTTTGTGGTCATTATTGTGTTTGTTGTGTCCTGGTCTCCATATGCTTGTGTCACTTTGATTGGATGGGCAGGGTAAGTGGACACTGTCTTGTTGATTTGTAGATGAAGATCAAGTATTCTTAGGGTGGGAGTCTAAAAGAAGTGTGTGTCTGCATTTAAAAGGATTTTAAATTGACGCAAGATTAGAGATAACATAACATTCCTTAAGCAGTACTCAGAATATCCTGGGTCACATCTACATGTGCAATTAATGCGCTTGAATTTTCTGCACAGAAAATTCAAGAGCATTAGACTGGGCCTCCTCGTGCATCTGAACATGTGCCCATCAGGAGCAAATTTGCTCCCAGTGGGGGCAGTTAAGTTTAGGGCCGCTTCTGCTCTGATGTGCCCCCCTGCAGCAGCCAGAGGGATCTCCAGCTCCCCCCAGGTGCCAGCCTCAGGCTGGCAGGGGGCCTTGGGGGCTGGTCCCAATATCCATGGGATGGGGGAGAGCTGTCCCAACTACTGAGCAGCTGCCTCACAACCAGATGGAGATCAGGACCCATTCTGACCTCCATGTGGCTGGGAGAGCTGTCCTGGCTGCTAGACAACTGCCACCCCACCTTGTGGAGATTGGGACAGGTCCCAATGTCCACATGGCTGGGAGGCAGTGTCCCACTGAGCTGGGACAGTTTTCCCCACCCCCTGTGGTTCCCTGCTGGCTAGGCTGACCAACAGCAGTTTGCTTCTGGTCAACATCTACATGTGCACTTCAGCACTTTAAACTAATGTGCCACTTTCTAGTACCTGTTTCTACAGATACGAGAAAATCTGATGAGCAGCAATTGTTGCACACATGTAGACACTGATGGTTTGCTGGTCATTGGATTAATCTAATGCACAATAAAGCATCTTATGTAGATGTACCCCCCTATGGATGAAATGGATTTGAATTTCAATACTTAGATTAAACTTTGTGTGGTTTTTTTGTAGTTCAAGTGGTTTCCCCCTCCTTTCTTTACATACATTCTGATTTCATGTAGCATAAACCTTGCCAATAGATCCAGTAGATGCTCTTTTTCTCACTTTCCTAATATATGACCTCTCCCAAATTCCTATCTTCAAGACAGTCACTAATAGAGGGAGAAGAAAGTGTATTTTTTCTAGCCTCCTGAAAAGCATCTTCCCCATAAGGAACCCCTTCCTCTCTTTGTCCGTGTTCAAGTCCACTGATATTAGTGAAAGGTTCATGATAGTGATGGAGACTAGATGCACCTTGCAGCTAAAATAACTTGTGACAAAACAGTAAAAGTTATTCTCAATCTGTTTTTCCTCTTTGCTCTCCTCCTTTTTTTTTTTTTTGGCACTGGAATTTCAGTCTCATTGGGCATGTCTGCGTGTGCAATTAATGCAACAGGAAAAGCTCCAGTATGTTTCATGCTGGAGTTTATTGTTCCCAGGTGCTACCTTTACACATGTGCCTGGGACCACAGTACATTGAGCTGGGTCAGCGCAGCTCGGGGTGGGGGGGGCGGACCCGGGGCTACTCCAGCCCAGATCAATGTGCTGCGGAGGGCTGGCTGGGGTACAAGAGTGCTCCAGTGTGGCAGCTAGCTTGCAGGCAGTCCCCACACTGAAGCACCCTTGTGCCCCAGCCAGCCCTATCAGCATCTGCACATGCATTGTTACACACTAAAGAACGCTGCTGTAATATAGTACTTGTATTTACAAGTACTAACCTAAAGTGGAGTTAATTAGTTTACTGCAGCCTAATAGGGCTGCACATGTAGATGCTGAGACTTTACTGCAGAGCTAATTAGGCAGCTCTGCAGTAAATGTCTCGTGTTGATGCACCCATTGATACCCTTAATTATGCAGAATAGAAAGCAACAGTATTGTGTGGCCGCATGAGATATTTTCATTTTGAATGCCTTCTGATTATTACCATTCCCTTGTTCTTGATGTTTACAGACTCCACTTCTGCTTCCAGCTAGCACAGAAACAGGAAAAAAAATACACACTGCAGTTCCCCAGTTAACACCCCCCGCAGTCATCCAGTTCCCCACATTAATTAATGTGACCAAAATATGCCAAGTACTGCTAGTTTTTATTCACAGCAAGGAATGCAATTTAGGGAACTAACTTTTCAAATGTAGTTGTTGTCAAAGGATCATGGGACTGATTTATTTAGGAAAGCGTTATAGTTTTCTAGTAATTTACATAATATAAATCCATTATGTAACTTTGTATTACTTTTTTATTTTAGCCAGGGTGACATCCTAACACCATATTCTAAATCTGTGCCAGCTATTATTGCCAAAGCTTCTACAATCTACAACCCGATCATCTATGCAATAATTCACCCAAAATACAGGTACAGTAAAGCACGTACTTACAGTGGTAAATATACTTACCTATGATCTCAGTGAGACAGGAGATGACTCTTGATAACATGCAGCTCTTTCTTCTCCTGCTACCAGAAGAAATGTGGGGGAGGTGGATGTAGTTGCAGGGAGGAGGGAGGGAGTGTGGGAGAATTATGAATATCTTACGTTTTGGTCTTTGATATGTAAATAGCTGAAACAGTATAATTTCAGCTATTAGAATCTAGGATACAGGTTTCCCTCGCTTTATGTGGGTTCTGTATGTGCAGAATTCACTCTTATGTGATCTGTGTGGTGGAAACCCGCAGCCAACTGCTTTGTGCGGTGCACTGTGGGAGTGATGAGCACCAAAATATAGTCTCCTGTGTGGATCTGTGCTCCTTGATCATTGGCTGTGACACGTGTTTCTGTAGTTGCCATCCCCATTATGATAGCGCCCTGTGCTTGCGTGTACTGTCTGCTGTTGGAGAGTACCGAACCTGTCTTGTAAAATTGGTAGAAATGGGTCTGGGGGTCAGTACAGTTAAGGTCTTGGAACATATCCCTATTTGTTACATTGTAAAGTGGGTTCCCTTTATGTGAATTTGAGTTATGTGCCATTTTCCAGGAATGCATGTACAGCATAAAGTGAGAAAAACCTATATATCAATATATCTAAGTGCTTGGTCTTTCAGTGGTCTGTCTCAAAAGAAAATAAAATGTACTTAATAACTGAGTAAGCTAATGTGGTATCCCTTTGAATGGTATCGAAACCAGGGCAGACTTGCACTGCATTTCCCAGAAGCTGCTTAAGCCTCAAACTTTGCCTAAACTAGAGGCTTTGTGGACAGCTGCCATGAAATTATTCCCAGATAGACCGCTGGCCTTAAGGATGTCATGTGTCACAGGATATGCTATATAGCTAATTATCATATCTGATTATATTACATGATATGGAAATTTCTCTTGCCCAGTGAACAGCAATAATGTTTTTTTCTGTTAAGCTGGGAAGGGCAAAAGAAAAAATTCTACTTTTGTATTTTTTTTTTTTTTTTGTAATCATTTTTCTTCATTGTTCTTTTTGGTTTTCGGGTGTTTTTTTTTTAATTTTATCCCAGTCAGGAGAGAGAGAAATTCAGGAGATGTTGAAGCAATTCTATTTGTACAAATCCTAAAACATTTGGTTTTCAAGAATCGAGTGAAAATACCTCTTTTCATGCAATTTATGTCCTTGTACCCATTTTAAATAAAAAGGGGTTATTGTATAGAAAAAGAATGTTGTCTATATCAGTATTTTTTCAGGATTTCTCTTGGCTCATTAGCAAGTATTTCAAAGACCATCTTTTATAAAGCGACTGTTTAACAAGTCTTTGGTCAAAGCAGACGGAAGAGGTACTTATAATATATGAATAATAATACCACTAGATGGCAGTGTTAATTGTCTAAGATTTCATTCTTGTCAGGGAAGGGGAGAAGCTTCTATAGGGTGTGTCTATATATGACATTTACTGTAAAGTTGCTTAATTAGCACCACAGGAAATTTCTTGGCATCTAAACACGTGGCCCTATTAGGCAACAGGAAACTAATATACTCAGCAGCACATTAGAGCTTGTCAATACAAGTACTATCATGCTGTGGAGTTTGTTCATGCTCAGCAGTGCATATGTAGACACATTCGGGGCTGGGGCATGAGGGTACTTCAGTGCAGAGCCAGCTGGCTAACTGCAGCACCCTCATGCCCCAGCCAGCCCCTCTGCAGTACTTTGAGCCTGGCTGGCAGGCTGACCCTGGGACCCCCTGCCAGCTGAGGCTGCTCCGACCTGGCTCAACACGCTGTTGTCCCAGACCCACATGTAAACATGGTGCCCAGGATAAAAACTCTGGTGCAATAAGCACCAGAGTTTGTGTTGCATTAATATGCATGTGTAGATGTGTCCATAGTGTCTCTTTTTGCAGCTTAAAGACTAACTCATTCAGAAAGGTATAAGCTACAGCCTACTCCATCAGATGTTGTCACCTATGAAAGCTTATGCTGCTGAACTAATTAGTCTCTAAGGCTGCCTATATGTATGCTCGGGAGGTGGGAGGAGGCACACTTTAATTAGAGCAGTTCCTAGACAGCTGCTCTAATTAAAATGCCTCACCAACATGTGTATTAAGCCCCCATGCATTTAAAAATGGCCATGGGATGCTTTATCTAAACCACATTTGATGAGGTGTAGATAAAGTACCCCCACAACTATTTAAAAAATGCAGGGGGCTTATACACATGACAGTAATGCCATGCTGGAGCATTCTAATTAGAACATGGAGCAGCATGGGCAACTGGTTTCTCCCAAGTCTGGGGGGTCCCCCAGTGGCTGATTGCCAAGTGTGAAACCAAAACAGCATGGGTAGGTGTAACAAGCACCCATCCCAAGGGTGGCCACTCAGCCCTTGCGTAGTCTGGCTTTCTTTGGGCACTCTCTCCTTTACTCACCCACCATGCCTAGAAGTTATTATCTATTTAGAAAAAAGAAAGGCTGTCCCAGGGCTTCCCAAGCCTGATCTTACTGTCATAACCACAGTTGTCCATGGTCATTGCCTTAAGGGTTAATTATGTGGCTCTGACCACCCATTACACCATGCCCATGCCTTGCAGGTGGTAACAATCGTATCCTTCATCAGCCTTCTTGTGCCATGGCCTCAATCCCTGGGACTGGACCTCCCTGCCCAGGCACTTCACCTACCTCGGCAACTCCATGGCGTGATTTCCAGGCTTTTCTGTCTCTCCCAGGCACTTTGCCTCTCATGAACACAGCCTCTCCTGAACACAGCCTCCCTGCCTGCACTCCCCACCTGGGCAATTTGCCTATATGGGCTAGGCTACTCCTGGCTTCTACATCCCACCCTATCAGGCTCCTACTGCCACCCCTCCTGGGAATCCATTCTCTGGATTCCATTTTCCTAATCCCTGAGCTTCTTTGCCCTGCTTCTGCCCCTCCCCAGGCTATAGGCCCCTGGCCCTGATCTCCAGGCTCCTTTTGTCCCAATCACTAAGCTTCTTTTCCCTGTTCCTAGGCTCTATCTCTACTCCTAGTCCTCTGGCTGTCTCTGCCCTGTTCCTGAGCTCGAGCCTCGTTC